ATGTGCCTCTGTCAGGTCAACTGACTGCTAGAGTGGCCACAAAGGAGAAAATAAGGTCTTGTTCAAGGGCACGAGTGCGACAAAACATGGGAGACTTTGAGAGGGTAGACTTTGAGGGCTAGACTTTGTCTAGCCAACAACATTATTTGGCCTCCTGGTTCACACACAGAGCCTGGAAGGAATTACATGTTTTCAGATAACATACAATTTTGCTGCCACAGAAAGAAGTATGAGTTATAGAGTGTGAGATCATAATTCCTGATTCCAGGGATGATATTATTACTAAACATTTGGAACAATAAGCACAGAGAATAAAACAGTTACAATTTTTATGGGAATTTTTCATTAAATAGATGTTTCAACATCATTTCATATTACTCAGTAGATGTGTTCCATGAACATAACAGTAAATAGTTCCTGAACATTGAACCATATCTTACATTATCTAAGAAAAATCATATTGAAGAAATTTGTAATAACACCCTTTGTTAAAACATCACTCACTAAATATATCTGTTTTGTACAATTTGATTTTTATAGGCCATTTTCTTGAAATGGAGTAAAATTTATATTAAATCTATCATATTTTAGTGAACACCTAATATGTGACATGCTTTGAGTTAGGTTAGATCTTAGGAATTCAAATATGATTAAGACACAAAGCTTGTCTTCAAAGTGGCCAAGGATGGTCAGAGAACACATACGCTGCTAAGCAGAAAACTATCAGCATCAAGGAGGAAGTGACTAATTCACCCATGGTGGGGAGAAGTCTCAGAAATCTTAGGACATTGAAGCTAGATATTATAGGATGATTAAGAACATGTTAGGTAGGGCCAGCAGGTAGCGTGGTGGTCAAGGTGTTGTACTCCCACATGACTGATCATGGTTTGAGTCCCGGACCTGGCAGCTTGCATTCTCTCTGGTTTTTTGGTTTGTTTTTGTTTTGTTTTTTGAGAGGTTTTTGCTATAGGGCACATGTGCTCGCCAGAGAGACAGAGAGAGACAGAGAGACTGAAAGCGAGAAATCACCCCCCAGGGGGATGGCCACGCAGCAATCCCTTCTCCTCCATTCTCCTCTGGGGATCTCCAGAGTGCATGCTCACACGCCCAGCATGAGTTTAAGCCATCGAGTCTGGGACTCGAACCTTGGTCAACTACATGGGAGTCCAATGGCATAGCCATTATGCTAACTGCTGGTCCCATTCGCTCTCATTTTTCTCTGGTGAATTAAAAAAATAATAATAATAAATAAAATTAAATAATGCCAAAATAAATTTTTAAGAATATACCAGCTAATTAAGTGAGGGGGTATTCCATGTAAAAAGAACATGTATCTGGGGAAACTGAATGAAAGAGACACAGGACCCTCTCTATGTCTTCTGTGTAAATTACTATGAATTTACAATTATTTTTTTAAAAATTAAAGAACAAAGTCCAGTGCTCTCATGTATAAATATGCCTGGTTTTTAAAAGAAATGGTAAGTAATCCTGGTTGAGGGAATAGGATGGGAGGAGGTTGGGCAGGGAGTTAGAAATCAGAATGCAGAAGAATAAGCAGCAGTAAGTGGATGAGTCTTTGAACAGGCAGATTAATGTATGACTTTAATAGCCCCAAAGAGAAATTATGAAAGCCTAGACTAAATCTGTAGCAGTGTAGAAATGGAGAGAAGACAAAAGGCAAAAGTAATAGGCTTTAGTGATTCTGAGGAAGAGGAAAGAGGGTGACTGGGTGATCTGTGAGATTGACCCACATGGGAAGGTACTGTGCTCATGTACAGAAACCCGTCCAGGGACGAGCAGTTAGCGTAATGGCTATGTCACTGAACTCCCATGTAGTTGACCACGGTTCAAGTCCTAGATCCAGTGGCTTAAACTCATGCCAGGCACATGTGCATAGAGGCTCAAGATCGGGAGAGAAGAATGGAGGAGAAGGGACTGTGGCGTGGCCATCTCCACTGGGGGGGCGGGGGGGCGGTGATTTTTTGCTTTCTGTCTCTGTCTCTCTGTGTCCTTCTTGTGAGCACACACGCCCTATAGCAAAAAACTCTCAAAAAAAAAAAAAGAAGAAGAAAAAGAAAAAGAAAGAAAGAAATCCATCCAAACACATCATACATGCAAATGTTCATGACCCAGGGATAGCTAATGCTGGGCATAGATTGTAGCATGAAGACCAGGTTAGGGGTTTCTGTTTCTCTCTTTCTGTCTCATGGAAGAAAAAAAGAAACTTAGGGAAAAAAGTAAGAGGTTAAAAAAAAATGACTAGGGTAGAAATCTATGCAGATTAGAAATAGAATCCATTTCACAGAACCAAAAAAGCTTTCAGAGTGAAATAGGATGAGTGCAGTTTAGAACTATTGACACTAAGGCTCAACACTCATGTAGAAGATAGAATTGGAATTCGGAGACAGCAGGTGCCATGGTGGTTGAGGGTGCTGGATTCCCACATGGTTGACCATGTTTCAAGTCCTGAACCTAGCAGCTTGCCTTCTCACTTTCTGTTTCTCTCTCTCTCTGTGTATCTCTCTGGCTAAATAAAATAATAATAATAATAAATGGAATTAAATAAATAATTTTTTAAAAAAAGATGTTATTGAAATTCAAGAACAAGTTCTTATAATGTACATTTCCAGTATTGTTTAAGAATATTCAACTCTAAGAAACCAGCAGATGGCGTAGCGGTTACATTGCTGGATTCCCACATTGTTAACACTGTTCCTATCCCATACCTGGTAGCTTCAAAATCACACCAGGCCCATATGAATGCATACCCCAAGATCCCAGAAGCAGGATAGAAGAGAAGAGATTACAGCATGGCCATCGCCCACCCCCCAGGGCGGCTGATTTCTCACTTTCCCTCTTACTATGTCTATCTCACTCTTTCTCTCTCTGGTGAGCACATGCACTCTTAGACAAAAATCTCTTTAGAAGAAAAGAAAAAGAATATTGAACTCTAGTGTAGAAAATCAGAAAAGATACAGGATGAACTGAACTTATAAGAATATTAGGCATAGTTAACAAAAGTTAAAAGAATCAGGCAAAATTTAGAGAATGTTTAAGTGTAGATATTGAGTAAGCAAGTAACTTTAGAGACATAGGTAGAATTCATGTGAGATGTTAGATATCAACAGTAAGTTAGTAATCTATAGACAAGGCATCCACTGATTGATGGACTAAATTAAGAAAATGATGAAGTGGACCAACTGATGGTGTGGCAGTTCAGGTGGCCGGATCCCACATAAGTGACCGTGCAATTGGAATCCTGGACCTGGCACCTAGAGAAACACACTAGGCACATATACCTCCCAGAAGGAGGTAGAGATGGAAGAGAAGGGATTGCAGAGTGACTATTCCTCATGGTGGTAGGGAGTGCTTTCTATTTTTTTTCTTTTTTGGAGAGGTTTTTGCTATAGAGTGCGTGCGCTCACCAGAAAGACAGAGAGAGAGACAGAGAAGCAGAAAGCAAGAAATCACCCCCCAGAAGAGATGGCCATGCCACAATCCCTTTCTCCTCTCGGGATCTTGAGCACACACACACATGCACCCAACATGAGATTAAGCCACTGGGTCTGGGACTTGAACCACAGGTGACTACATGGGAGTCCAGACATAGCCATTACACCAACTGCTGGTCCCGGGGGAGTGCTTTCTCACTTTCCTTCTCTTTCTCTTTCTCTCTCTGTCTCTGGTGAGTGCACATGCCCTCTGGCAACATTTTTTTTTTTTTTTAAGAAATGTGATGGGGCAAACAAGAGTGTTGTTTAGGGATGATAATGGATGGAAAAGTCAAATTATGCACCTCAAGAATGACAGTTGTGTCAATCCCAGTCCAGTCACCCCCTGATAATACCCAGGATGGTTTCTTTCTGGCCTGTGTGTACTTGGGTCGAATAAGTGTATAGTATTGGTTCAGAACTCCTTCTATTTGTGAACCATAGCCTATACCAACTCCAATACTCATAACCATACCATCAGCAAATAAGATCGACATCTTTTATCTTCTCTACATTTACATGTTATTGATAAGGAAGAGAGAAAAAGAGAGAGAAGATAGGAGAGGTCTTCAAAAAAAAACAGAAAAATTTAATTAAAGTATATGTCTGTTTGATGTAAATAAAATTAAAATTCACACTTTTTTAATAACATGCATTTCTAAAGACCCTCTGTATATGAACATTGTGATACCCAAGACTTTTGTACCTTCCTTTTACTTGTACCCTAATATAAGGATGTTAATTTATCTCAATCTCTGTACATTGGCTTCCTCTTATGTGTGAAATTCACTCAATAAACCATGTTATTCAAGCATTATAACTTCTGTGAGACTCTGTGCTCTGTGACTGCTCAGATAGCATGCCTCGTTGTGTGCTTAGAAGCTAGCTTTCCTTCAGAGCAATTCTCTGCATGATAGATTCAGTCTTGGTATAGTTAGTTAGGTGGTTGAGGATCTGATAACCCAACTAGACCCCAATTACCTTGATTTACACAATACTACATGTAATTTCAGCAAATATAAAATTCTATAAAATAATCAAGTCTCCACCTTTAAAAAAGTAGAAATTGCCTCTTTTTATATCTATTTCTGAAATCTTTCATAAGCCTTTGAGTTTATAAAACCATGCCCTATTTATCTTTGATTTCCATGTCTAGCCTGTCACCAGTAATAATGCAGAGACTTGTACTTTAGTTGCACTAAAAAAACAGTTTCAATACTTTTTTTTTGAATATTAGAAAAATTTTATTTTCCATGTGATCGAGTAATATGATTAAGAAGTTGTTCATAATTTACTGCTGATCTAAATTAACATTAACAAAATTGTAGTTATAACTCAAACTGACAAACTATTTCTAGAGAAAAACTTTTCTGCTTTATGCTATTATAATTTTTTCTATGGAGCATTAGCAAAGAATGTAAAGTTATATTATGCCACAAATGATTAAAAGCAATGTTTCTGGTTAGTTTGAATAAGATGTACATATATAACTTAGAACAAATATTAGGGTTATTTTCTCTGAAAAGTCAGCTTGCAAATGAAAAGAAGAAACCCAAATCCACACACTGAAATAGCTGTCCTCTTCAAAATTCTACTGTTCCATGTAGATACTTCTTCCATTAAAGGTATATGAGTTGGATCATCTTCCCGTTCACTTTGCAACTTTTGAATTAAGTCCTTTAGTTTGCAGACCTCTTCACTCAAATCTTCAACATTACTAACGAGTTCTTCACAAACTGAATTAAAATTTCGGGAAGCAGCCCATTCTGGTACTATCTTGTGAGAATTTACAGGTAACTCAGCAATGATATTCTGTACAGCTGTTATTAAGTGGCCACACTGTTTAATTTTAAAAGAAAGTTGAGGAACTCATCACCACTGATTTCTAACTTTGCCACTTCAGGTAATTCTCCAAATTTTATCTCTTCTACCTCTAGTTCTTTAAGAGCAGCCAGAATTTTCTGCTGATCTTTACTACTAATTCCATTCTTTATAAACTCATCTTTCCTCATGGTCAACAGGTGTCTTAAAGTTATATCCCTTTCCTTTAATACATCTGTCATATGTTCAAGTCCAAGACCATGTAAAAATATTTCCAGATCTCCAAATGCTGTGTATGAACTAAATATGTTATCTTTATCTTTATCAGAATCTGTTGTCAGTAGTTTACAAATAGTCTCTTCTTTAGTTAGCTGTTGAAGCTTTCCTTCTACTGGATTTAAAGTCAAAGAAAGCAAGTTGAAGATCTCAAGATGTTTATTTCTTTTTGCAATCTCACTTGGTGTCTTTCCATCTTTGGTTTGTAGCATTTTATTAGCTCCAAGTTCCAGCAACTTCAAAACTACATTTTTATGACCTTGACGTGATGCCCATGTTAAAGCAGTATAGCCATTCTCATCCTGGGTGTTAATTTCCGCTCCATGAGCAACAAGGAGAGCCACAACCTGAGGGTGGCCATCTCGTGCAGCATACATGATTGGAGTCATAAGTCTCCTACAAGGGACATTTGGGTCAGCATTTCTTGAAAGTAGTAGCTCTACACACTTCAAAATCTGTTCTGAGCCACGAGCAGAGCACGCAGTTATCAAAATAGTTTGCTTATCCTTATCAAAGCTTGCATTAGCACCTTTGTCCAAAAGGACTCGAACAAGTTCTACATTGGCAACGCTAGCAGTATACATAAGGGGAGTCCATCCACATCGAAAGCTGGAATCTACACTAATGCCTTTGTCTCTCACCAGAATCTAGGAGCTCCTTGACCAACGAAATATCTCCAGTGGTCAGTGCTCTCTTAAATGTCTCACTCTTTTCTTCAGCAGGTAATGGTCCTCTTAATTTCTGAGACTTGCGGTCGAGGTACCCAATCTCCCATCCGTCATCGTCGCTCTCGCTACTCTCTCCTCCACCGGCCACCGCCAGACCCCTCAGCACACTCACCGCCCT